AAATTATATATATATATATATATATATATATATATGTATATTAACCAAAAAACTGTGCCTGCTTCATAGACATGAAATGTTTATCTACAGAAAGCGAAATGTCTACTTTTAAATGAATCAATTCAAGTGGAAAACAAATATTTTCTGATTATATAATCCGTATGAAACATGCACGTACACTGTGGAGATAACGAGTCAGTGTCGGCTTCATCACTGCAGCCGAAAATACAAAAAACGTACTCGGTTACTGACGTAACCTCAGTTCCCTGAGATACGGGAACGAGTACTGCATCTTGCTTAAGACGCTAAGGGTGCAGGCACAGCCCACCAGAGCCCACCAATTTGGACGGGGCATCTGGCTATATAAGCGTGCACTTCGCCATAGGATCCTCAGATTACTTTGACTGAAGCGACGACCGAGTCGTGCAGCTACATAGCACGGCCAGCAACGCAATACTTGTTCCCGTATCACAGGGAACCGAGGTTATGTTAGTAAGCGAGTACGTTCCCTATCGATACTTCACTCGTACTGCGTCTTGCTTAAGATGCTAAGGGGAACCAGTAAAATCCCGCTGTGCTATGTTAGAGGAATGACAGATGCTTAAACTTGCCTTGAGCACCAAGGGCCCAGAGGGACCAAGTAATTGTAGGGAAGCCCCACAAGAAACGATAGGGCCAAACTCACAGAGGTCGGCCCGGCGCTAAGTAATCATTTCCAGAAAAATCGTACAGCCTCGGAACCCAGTGGGGGCCAAGAGCGTACCGAGAAGGCAAATGCCTGATTTAGCACTGGTTTTGCTAGAGTAAGTCCATTAAGCAGAAAGGACCCGAGCTTGTAAAGCCGGGACGTCCAGATTATAAAACCGCTAGACCAAGCCCAGGAAGAGGCAACGCCTCTTGTAGAGTGGGCTCTTACTCCCATGGGGCATTGAAGGCCCAAAGAAGAGTATGCTAGCTTGATAGCGTCAATAATCCATTTGGAAAGTCTCTGCTTCGTGACCGGAGACCCTCTGGTGTAGTTACCGAAGCATACAAAAAGCTGATCCGACCATCTGAACGGGGTGGAACGCTCAATGTATATCCTCAATGCCCTGACGGGGCAGAGTAGATTTAGCTCTTGGTTCTGCTCCGAAGGAGGAAGTGCCGAAAGAGCTATGACCTGTGCTCTGAACGGAGTCAAGAGCACTTTAGGTACATAACCATGCCTCGGCTTCCTTACGACCCTTGAGTTGTTGGGCCCGAATTCGAGACAGTTAGTGCTCACCGAGAGCGCCTGCAGATCACCCATATGCTTTACCGATGC